GTCATTGCGAGCACGGCTCATCAATCGCTGTAGCCGGGCTTGGAAGGTAAAACGAAGGTGTCAACACTTTGCTGTCTGTATCTGCAGCACTTCCACCAAGTTGCAATGAGCGTCACGATCCCAACAACAAAACAAAAGCCAACTAAACTGCCGTGACCACCTCACTCTGGTCCTCATTCGACCATACCGGCATGTCGGGCACAAATGTCTCCGCTATACAGGTCGTCAATGCCAGCCGAACGAGAGCATGTACGAGTACCTCCAACTGCGTTCTCCACACGCATCTCTGCGATTCCACATTGCATGTCCGTCGGGGGCCCAACCAAAGCCGTCTTCCTAACGTCGCGATTACCCCTGGCCCTTTGCATTTGCCGCTGCACCTTCGCTGACATCATCGCACTAATTGAAGCTCGTCAAGTTTTAGCCGGTGTCCAAGGACGTGGAAGCGTTCACTGCTTACTCTTGTCCTGTCTTCATTGGCCTGCTCCGAAATCATGAGCCAGTAACACAACCTGAAAAATCTATCTACATGCTTTCAAAGGCCTATGGAATTTGCACCCCCAAAGTTGGATGTGACGGGTCTCTGCTACCTGGACCTAGCCACGCTTTACCCAGCAACAAGCGATCCTCCACCTGGTCGGCAGTACCTCTCCTGTGCAAGTCTTCAACGCTGCCAGCCACTGGGACCGTACGGTGTCGCTGGCGTGGCGCTGACACTGCAAGGCCGTATGCAGCGACTCGGCGCATGGCGGGTTAACATTCTGGTGCACATCGCACAAGCAATTAGCCCTTTGCTTCAGCTCCATTCCCTCTGAAGACAACACAACCCTCATCATGCCGATGAGACAGCGCGTCTACGACACGCAAAATTTGCATGCATGTCTAGGATTGTGCAGGTTCTCCATTTTTCTCTAGCAGGGGGACGCAGCGGGACAAGTGTCAGCGTGCAAGGCGAGCAATCTGTACATGCTCAGCGACACCCTGCACGTGAAAGTTCCGTGCTAACATGCATTCCTGCTTGGTCGCTCTTCTTGCAGCGCTATGGCCTCTGCCTGCATGCGCTTGCAGGAGATGTGGGGGGGCGCAGTGGGTTCTTTTAGGCTCGTGCAAAACTAAGATTCTTGGAAGTCTGGCAGTACTTGTATTGGATTGCACGAACTACAGCTCTAAACGCATCTCGCGCAAGTGTCCTGCAGTCCAAAAGCCCAAATGCCACTCTATAGACTCTATAGCATCGATCTGATGGCAAGCGAACGGCAAAAGATGCTTTATGATCTTATGCCCAACCCACCCCACGCCCCAGGATACCCAGTGGACTAGTGCAAGAATGCCAAACCCAAACATGGTTCAAACGCGCTTGGATGCGGCACCAGCCAGTCAACTTCAACTCACTGACCCGCTGTTAAGGTCATGGAGTACTCGGATTTGGGGGACCTCGGCTTGGGTTCAGCTGTAATCAAGCTTAGGGGCTCAGACCAAAACATGCAAATATTATAAACGAATCGCACAAAATCAACAGCTTATCTGCAGAGACCATCGTTTGCTGGACTTGCCTTTCGCATTTTTTGCTCAAAACAATTGTGCCTGCCCTGCCGGGTCCTTGTTGCAACTGTTGCTTTTACCGGCAGTATGCGTGAAGCTTAAAGTTATCAGGTCAGCACACGGACAGAAAGAAATACCGTTAAGTGTCTCCTTTTTATCGCGAACTTGAGCCAATCAAAGCAGGTATTATGTGCATTTAGAACAATGCCAAAATGCAGGTACAAATCTACACCCCCCTCACCGTGTGCAGCCGAGCACTAAGGTGGACAGAGATTGCGGCTCACCCTTGCGGGTGGCTTGTGTTGTCCACGATAGTTCAGCTCACGACTTCGGGGAAACCTGCTCAAAAGAAAGAAAGAGTGCACTGTGATACCTACTGGCTTCAGCGGCGGCTTTGCCACTGCCAGCCACGGCTCCAGGATGAACTACTCCATCCCTCAGACCACCACCAGCTGCTGCCCCAGTCGTCCTGGTCTTGCTGCCACCTCCACGGGGGAGTCGCCTCACGCTTGGCTGCTGCCGCATGGCTTGTCGCCAGGGCCCGATTTTGGTCGGCGTACCACTGGGTGCGATCGGCTTGCCGACGTGCAGCTGCATGATTTTCATTGACCAGGTCCTGGAGCTCCGCCACAATTTCGTCCGTCTTGCTGCCTTGCAGCTCCGACTGACCACCAAAAGTGAAGATTGTCTTCGCAAACTTCTGGCGAAGGGCGATCTCTGCATATGCGTGGTAGCCCATGAATGCTCCCATGTAGCACAGGCCAACTGCATGCACAGCAAGGTCGTCGACCAGCCTAACTCCCCGGAGCTCCTCAACCGACAAATCGGCGTAGTAAACGAGCTTACCAGGAACACTGCCGGGCCTGCCACCTCGAAGGTAGTTGCTTCCGGCCTTGAGCAAGCGCTGCTCTTCAGTGCGTCCTGGATCGGGGAGGAACGCTTTGGCCAGGCAGTCGACGCGGAGCATGTCGTCGAGGGTCTTGCCAGCCTGGACCATTCTCGACTGGAAGCGGGCATCCTGATCGAACCTCTCTGCGACCGAGCCGTGCTTGAGCTTCCTGGCCCTGGTAAGCTGATCCTTCGCGTCACGAATGACGGCTGCCTCGAGGGATAAGGAACCTCGAGACTTGGAGTGCTCCTCCGCCACCTTCCGGATCTCTGTCAAAAGTGAGTGCTCTCGATCCGCAGGAAGGGACAGTGCCGCCAATGCCGCTCGACGGATGCTGAGGTTCTCCATCGCCTGGCGATCCATCTTGGTGTCACGACCTGTCTGGTTCGTGCCACACTCCATACAGAACCTTTGGCCAGGGAGAATCACCTTTTGGCACGAGATACATGGCACTGAGCCTGGGGGAGTGGTGAAGCTTTCCTCTTCGGCCTCGCTGGTGTCCACCTCGACCACCATTTCTACCATGTCGGTATCTTCGGCACCGAGGTCGCCAGCCTCCGCCTGGACGTTCTCCAGCTTGGCCCTCTTGGCTTCTACCTTTGGGTGTGCTGGGCGAGGCCCTTGACTCTTCTTCCTTGGTAATGAACTGAGCAGCGGCCCTCGGAGAGGTCGCAGCAGAGGAACTGCTCTGCACACCCTTGCGGGTGGCTTGCTCCGACAATGTTGCATCCACGTTCTCGACGCGGGCAAAAATGATCTCGCCCGTCTTGGTGTCGGTGCACGAGATGATGCACGTTGCCGGAACAATCTGCCTTGTGAGCGTAACCTAAAGTTATCAGGTCAGCACACGGACAGAAAGAAATACCGTTAAGTGTCGCTCCTTTTTATCGCGAACTTGAGCCAATCAAAGCAGGTATTATGTGCACTTAGAACAATGCCAAAATGCAGGTACAAGTCTACAAAGCTGTGGCCACATATAGACTTTGGACAGGTAGTCCCAGCTAGCAGATCTGCTGGCCTTGCCATGTGTGCTGCTGCCTGGGATGGACTCCAGAGCAAAGCACAAACTTGAGATAGGTTGCATCATGTCGTGTCGTGTCGTCTCCGTCAAACTACTGCCTTGTGGTGCTGTATGAACGATGGGAACCACAAGGACTTCCGAAACTGATGCGGTCTGCTGCCCGGGTGATGATGTTATAGAGCTGGTTCATGAATAGCTGATAAGCTGAGGTTCAAGTTGAATTCGTTGATCTATATACTTCGTGTGCGCAGATTCGGTGTAGGCACGGCACTGTAATCAAGCCAACACTTGTCACTACATAGGGGTGGTTAGCTTACCTGCGACGTCTTTTCGGCCTTATGGCTTTGAGTTGAGTGCTCCCCCCAATGGTGGCGCAAGCACCGCCTTTGGTGACACGGGGCCTTCGAAAGAGACTTTCCTCTTGGTTTGGGGGCTGGGCTCGTTTTCGACAAGCTGTGGTGTTTCTGAAGGTCTCAAAGGATGCTTTCCACAAGCATGGGGCTGCAAAAGGCAGGTGCTCCACATGTTGTTGGGTTCAATGAAAAGCTGCTTTCCACACAGTTTTGGCGCTGGCAAAGGTAGGCTTTCCGCGTAGTTTGGGGTCCATGACGAGATGTGATTGCGCTGACCGGCGTTCTCAACGCGCATGATTGCCTGGGTTGTTTGCAAGTTTGTAGGACATATACGAACCCGCCCCGCCACGCGGAATCACCTTGTCGAAATCGTTGTGGAAACGCTTGCGGAAACTGCTGCGGAAACACTTGCGCTATTCGGAAACCCTTGTGGCAATGGTTGTGGAAACATGTCACTTAATTACGGAAACTGTCGGCGGAAGCACTCGCGAAAACTGCTGTGGAAACATGTGCCGGGCATCATGTGGTAGCACTTCCGGAAATCGTAGCGGAAACGCTTCCCGCCATGCGGAAACACTCGTGAAAGTTGTTGCGGGAACATTTCTGGCCACGCAGAAACACTTGTGAACCTTCACGGAAAACAACGCTGGTGACCGCTGGTTATTTAACTTGAACCAACAGGCATTTCCACACGCATGCCGATACTGTACTATTGCCACATGTCTCCACAACCCCACTTGATTTCCACAAGGGCAAGCGAGTTTCCATCTATAATTTTCCACGCAGTCTTTCCACACATCTGCCCGGCTTTTCCGTGTAGTTGCCACAAACCTGCGCAAGCTAATTAGTTTGCACGCAGTTTTCCACGTGCTTTGACACGCATGTTCTGCATCAGACGTGATTTTGTGCGCATACAAATCACGTCAGCCGCTGGCAGGGCTGGCAGAAAGGCGGACGTGCATCCGAGGTCGCGATGGGTAGAATTCATGGTGCAACACGGGTGCAACATGGGTGCAGCGACAGTTAGCTCCATTGAAGCACACCTCTTGAGTCTAGATTCTACCTTGGGGACATTTGTGTGCCCACATGTTGTGGAAAAGCAGGTCTGGTCAATGCCAAAAATCTGGTCGGCTTAGGGTTTTGAAGGTTTGGGATAGGGCTGCCTTGGGCCTGAAGGTTCAAGCCTTCTGGCGCTTCAAGTCGTGTCCCAAACCTTGTCTTCCCTTCCACCTGGGAAACCATGGCACCATGCAGTGTTTCGCGAAGTAACGCGTTGCCATGGCAAGACTTCCAAAAATTACACCGGTTATTGCATTCTCGTTTATAAACTTTTCGTTCTCCAAGACACCCGAGCTGGTCTTCCGAAGTGTGCGCAGCGCTTGCGCCGGGGAGCCGGCAAGGCAGCCGCATGGGGAGGCCTCCGATCCTGAGCGTGGGCGAAAAAAGGCAGAAGCTTTTCCTATTTGAGGATGTTGTTCGCATGGGCTCGTCCGACTTGTGAAGCAAGCAAACTGTTGGGGAGGGGGGAGCGGAGGGGGAGAGGGGGAGGCGTGCGGAGGGGGAGCAGAGGAGGTGAGAGAGGAAAGGAGGGGGAAGAGAGAGAAGGGCGGAGAGAAGGGGAGAGAGAGGGGGAGAGAGAAGGGGAGAGAGACGGGGAGAGAGAAGGGGAGGGAGCGAGCTAGCGACATAGCGAGAGCGAGAGAGAAAAAGAGAGAGACAGAGAGACAGAGAGACACAGAGAGAGAGAGAGAGAGAGAGAGAGAGAGCGAGAGCGAAGGCGAAAGCAAGAGCGAAAGAGGGAGAGAGAGAGAGAGAGAGAGCGAGAGCGAGAGCGAGAGCGAAAGCGAGAGCGAAAGAGGGAGAGAGAGAGAGAGAGAGACAAAGAGAGCGAGAGAGAGAGCGAGACAGAGAGAGAGAGAGAGAGAGGAAGAGAAAGAGAAAGAGAAAGAGAAAGAGAAAGAGAAAGAGAAAGAGAAAGAGAAAGAGAAAGAGAAAGAGAAAGAGAAAGAGAAAGAGAAAGAGAAAGAGAAAGAGAAAGAGAAAGAGAAAGAGAAAGAGAAAGAGAAAGAGCAAGAGAAAGAGACAGAGAAAGAGAAAGAGAAAGAGACAGAGCGAGCGAGAGAGAAAGGGAGAAAGGGAGGGAGAAAGGGAGGGAGAAAGGGAGGGAGAAAGGGAGGGAGAAAGGGAGGGAGAAAGGGAGGGAGAAAGGGAGGGAGAAAGGGAGGGAGAAAGGAGGGAGAAAGGGAG